GGGGGGGGGGGATTACCAGTAAGTTAAAATCTACCTGCTGCTGTTGCAAGGGAGTGCATAACTGAGAGAGTGAATTCCTATAACCTGTGGAAATTTTCAGGATCAATTGCATAAGCTTAATGGAATTAACAGTGACCAGTATGTTTATCAGCGATCTTGTGTGGTTGTCAGCCACAAATTTAATAACTAGATTTCAAATTTGAGCAGGCTTGTATTTATATTTTGAAGGGGCTGAATGGAAATCATAAACAGCCAGTGTCGTTGAATATAAATTTACAAGATGTCTTAAACCACAACATCAAGAGTAGCCTTTTTTTCTTGAGTGTGTGTACGGCTCTACAGAAAGCTCTATACATTACATCTTTCATTCTTTGTTCAACTGTGGTTAAACTAGTAGCAGGTTTTGGGTGAGGCCGGGCTGCCTTTTCCACCCCCACACCTTTTGTGTGGATGAAATTTGCAGTCTTGATTCTAGTAAATTCTCATACAATGCATTTACGATAGACATTCGTAAAGAAATTTTAATACTGCGTTTCATATTTTGAAATAGTTTATGATAGTGGCTATTCAGGTATACATTAAAGAGAGCTTTCATTAAATTTGTAGCTTGTAAGTGTTTGCTTTAACTGAAATGCGAAAACTAGAATGGTATAACCCTTAGATACATAATTTGACACACACATGGGCTGTTGAAGGAACCAACATGGGGGTGGGTGGAGGATTTGGGGGGGGAGGTGTAAATGTATGAATATGAAGTAATTGCATTTTCAACTCCATTTAATTCCCCTGCATCACCCCCCTCCCTCCCCCCACCCCCAATCCCTTTGCATTACAATTATCTTCTTGTGTTTAATCAAACAGGTTGGTTTGGGATACTATTGACAGATCGCTTTGCACTTAATCATAGGGGCATGGCACATAAGACTACTGGTACTTTCTCTTCATAGCATTAAGGGGGTGTTTCCCGTGAACATTAACGTAACATATCTGATAGCCTGATAAAATAACATTTTTGTAGTTTTAGTCCCATCAAAATGATCCGTTTAATTTATGGTCCTTTGTTTGTTTCTCTTCTCGGGTTGAGTTCATTGCGTGACAGGCTCTGAAAAAAAAAAACATTGGCGCTAATTTGACTTTTCTGTCTTCTGACTTCACTATCCAATCTGCTACTAAAATATGACGATCTGTTTCTTCATAAACACTCTTGTTCTTTGGCCATTTCAATTTAACAAGAAATAACATGCAAACAGCAGCAACAAACATAACACATGAACTACGCATGGTTTGGAACAACAATCTAAAATTTTCTTGAAGTTTCGCATGCTACAGCACGCATCTTCAGAAGTGGCGGTTACAAAAAACCGAAAGATTTAAAACTTAAAAATACAAAGCGAGGTACTGGTAACTAACTAAACAATAACGAAAACAAAAGGTGATAGCTAATAAAGTGACAGCTTTTCACTGCTAGCATTGCCATTAAGTGTTGGGTTTAAGTCTCGTATAAACAATGTTTCTTTTATTTTACAATGTGATTTACATGTTTATCT